TGTACCGTGACGAAAATCACATTTTTTCATCCAGATGCAATATTACAACAAACCCCGACGTCACCCGAGGGATGTCAACGTTTTTACTCCTCCATTCATTTTTTATTTTTTTTTCTGAAGGTTTTAAGAACTAATGCGTTATGAGCCCCGATTCCATTTATTAGCGGAAATAGCATATATTCAATAAAGGTCTTTCTTAATTTCGCAGGTCGCCCACACACCTATGCAATGCAAAGGTAGTAAGTTCTGGAATAACATGTAATTTATATGATATAATTCATATTCTGTATACGTTTATTACTTATTTTTAGATTAGTTCAACTGTACAGCGGGTCATCAAAAGTTGAAGATTTTCAGAATATGATTTTTTTTCTCGACTTCAAACTAGCACAATGTAAGGTTACAAAATATCTTTTCTTCTCAGATATTTTCAAGAGATCGCTTCATCAAAAGGGCTAAAAGTCAAGAATTCAAAATTTATTTTAATCTTGAATAAAATCTAATGTATTACATGTAAAAATCAGTTGCTTTAGATATATTTACATGTATATGATTTTAAAAGTAAATTGGTAAATAAAATACTGCTAGGGAGTAGTTATAACAATATGTGGGGTAGAAATAACAATAAATATTTTAATTAAATATTGCTTTATTTTGTACTTTAATGAAATTGTTTATATGTACTTTAGGGGGTGATGAATTAAGTCAAGAAGAGGGAAGGAAGACATGACTCTTGGTGGCGGACCACAACTTGCCTTTCTTTGGTCGCTTAAATCCCAGTTTGTGACCGCTCGTGTATACTGTTTTGTCAATGAACTTATTTGACACAAAGAAATGAATATTTCATCATAAAACAATCTTATACACTAGTCCACTTTCAACCTTTAGGTATCATTTTTTCATCTTAAAAGTAAAGTTTGGGACAATATATGCAATTTTTTTTTATCAAGATGTAAAAGTTTGAATTCAAAGTTTCAAAGTTTAAAGTTTCAATTTTACAAACCACTTTCAACGAATAATGTCAAGTAACATGCATCGGTATCTGTCAAATGAAATGTTTTCTGAATTGATGCTAAAAATCCTTGCTATTTTTTGATGAATATGATCTCATTATGAGTGTTTTTTTTCATTTTTAGAAATATATCCTGAATGGAAAATATATTATGTGTCCACGAGTGCAGCAAGTAACCTTTACAGCACAAACATGTACATATATGGACAAATCGTGATCAAGTAATTCCAAGTACCAGAAGTATTAAAATGTTTTAAAAGGTTTTTAAGTGCAAAACTTGCAATTTTTGTTATTTCATATATATCTGTATTAAATATAAACTTACTGCAGACATAAAATAACCCTACTAGAGGTATATTGATAACACCAATGCTGTCACTATCTGGGATCAAATGACAATCATTATTAGAATTTTCTTAACCAGTACATAGAATTTGATGATGGGTAATGGGCATATTATTTTATCATTTCAGATTTTAACAGAGTTTAACTATATTTACCTGCTAATTTATTTATTTTCTTTACGTAACATTGTTTTTGATGTTTTTTTTAACATAAAGACATATTCATGCGTAACAGGATATAGTAACAATTATGATATTTTTTAAATTAAAAGCTTTAATGATCACTGCTTTAGATAAATGTTTTGATATTTTACTTAAATCGTTATTTAAAGAATAAAGTGGAGCTTTAAGCATTAGATTCTATATATTAAGGACATATAGAGCATTAAATATAGATGCACTTCAATACAAATAAGTGTAAAGGAAAGAATAAAAAAGCTACGTATCCTATCAGTCACTTTTAGCAAGAAATGTAAAAAATATCGGAAGCAATTTCCTCTGAAATTTTAACGTATGACATTCCAGTGTTGTGGTAGACCCTTATATCAAACGTTCATGCTCTGGTAAGATCGCATCGCGAAAATCCGTTTACATATATAATAGACATAAACTTTAAAATTGATATACCTTTCATCATTCGCCTTTGAGACCCAGCCACAAAAATAGCTCTAATTATGAATGACTGGTTAGTGCTCGAGAGAGTTCTGTTACAATCCCGATATGGAAAACAAAATGAAATTTAAGGAGGCTAGGGTTACACATTTTGTTTCAATTAGAGAGGATCCTTTCCCCCTGGGCATTCATCTTAGTTATATATTTCTATCTATAGATTAAATTTATTTTAACCCTGATGTGACTTTGTCACCTAAGGTTTCAAACGGCACTTACTACCAAACTGTATCTCTGAACGATAGAGCTTGCGCGACTGGCATAATGTAATTTATACGACAATTAATCATTATAGAAGTTTAAAATAGAAGTATATGTTATAAAGAGAGTGATTCTTACCTTTAATAAAGGTTGAACATTTTTTTTTCAAAAAATGAACAGGATATTTGAAGTTTAGTGAAGCAGTTTATTTTTACAGGCGTGCTATTTTTCAGTCATTTTAGATATTAATTATCCTTCTCTGTCCTAAGGTATGTTTGACAGGGGAAGGGAACAACGAGTTCTCTTAACTTTATGTTTGAAAATGCGAAAAAAACAATGCTATCTTACTTTACCTACCTCGTTTGAAAATCAAGTAACATGAATTTTACACACGTGAAAACAATTATTTAACTGTTATTATATTGCAAACTATGAGTGTGAAACAAAGTTATTCAACTGTGGTCTTTGATTTTTCTGTATTGCAATACATATGATTTGAAAGGAGTTTTGATAATTCCGTATGATTTTAAATATATCTATATAAAATACTGTAAACGTATTACATTTGGCTGTGTATTCTTTTTAGCGCTTTTGGCGAAGAGTAATCTTCGCTAATTCTAAAGTCGCACATATACCGATGATAAAGAACATTCAGATATGCGCCAAATCAAATCTACGCTAAATTGTTCAAAATCCAATTTCCGCCAAATATTGTACGCTCCAAATAAAATACATTCACAGTACATGATAATGTAATCAGAACAATGCGGATTAAAACTGAAACAACCAGCAAAAATAAAAGAAAAGAACTATTAATTATTTGATTTCCACTGCAATGGCAAGTTTCATTTCTTATTTGCAAAACTACATTGAAAATTTGCTATCAGTTTGTCTTTGAAATATTGCTGCCCTTACAGTTTTAGTTCAGTACTTTTTCATAAAATATTTTATGTCCCTTAAAATATATGTCCTATCTCTAAATAATACTCTCTATAATACTACCTATTCCATAGTTTCAAGCACTTACTAGTAATCAATAACTGGATAGAGATAGATAGATATTCATATCCAAATCACATGCAATTGGTCATTAAATGATAATTTCAAAAAGAATGACAATTACATGCATCAATTCACTATATATATTTTTTTTCATTCCAATTAAAAGTGAAAAAGGAATGTAATAGATGGAGAACTGTATGTTAGGTACAACTAAAACGAAAACAATCAAATAAAGAAACAAAGGAAAAAAGAATTTTAACATATTTCACTGTAAATAAGGTGATGCTAACATGCAACAATGAAATCTTGATGAAATATTTATATCTCACTCCAGAACAAAAAAATATTTGTTCGTTAATAGTTTATATCACTTTTTAATTCATTTCTTTAATGAATAGATTTAGTCCATTGTTTATTTGTTTATACATTGAAGAAATTAATTAAGTTTTATTAAAAACCATTTCTGTATACTATGACAGATTAATATCATTTTTATATCTCTCAGGAGATTCATTTATACAGTATATAAAATTCTTCTTTTATATAATTACTGTCAAAAAAGCATTGTTTTATTTTATGGTACACTTTTATTTTATTTAATGGTGTACGTTACCACTGTTTCTGTTTTAGGTAATATTTCTTTAATCAACATAATAATGCATATTGTCTAACTCTCCTTTGCACACATGTATTTTTTATATATTAAATGCAAAATATTTTGATATGATAACTCTTAAAATAAAAAAGATACATTTTTTTTTTCAAGAAAACCTTTAGAATATATTTGGCAATTAAAAAAGATTTTTTATTTACTGAAATTTGTTTCTCTTTCTACCATGTCAAAAGTAACGATCATGAATTTTAAAATAATTGGCTCTATCATCAATCAATCTTAAAAAATATATTCATTAACAAATTTAATAAATGCGTATTTTAGTGACAGTAAACTATTTGTTAGCAGATTGAAAAATCAAATTGTGTGTTGTGTTTAAGATAGCATGAAAGCTGTGAAGTTAAATATGAATGATCGCCCTCCAATCGATGCGCTTGAAGAGCTGAGACGCTTCTTTTAAGGCTAAGTAAATGTGTTAAAGGTACGCCAACTTATTGCAAGTATCCGAGGGACTGAGACGATATTATTAAACGTCCTAGTATTGTATTTACATAGAAAATTTTAATACTTTATTTAAACTGACCTCTTTAGACCTTGGAAGACTGCCAAAATCTTTGGTTTACATTTATCTCTGTGAAAGTAAACAATTTTAATTTATGAATGTCCAACTAAGTTATACGGCAACCAAAGTGTAATTAAAAAAATCAAGTAATTTCATGATAGATTTTCTCCCGATACAGATTTATTTAAAAAATAATACTTGAATCACTCAAAAAGTACATTCCAATAAGAATATTATTTCATAAACAGAACATTCCGTATAATGAAGCAAGTCAGGCGAGGCAATGCTAGACGAAGTTTTCATCGCTACAGTGACAAGCAGGGGACAATAAAGATGACTTCTATTATGTGCAGCTTTCTCGCTTTTACAGAAATTTATGGAATGCAGTCGTATCCATCATCTGTATGCGAGGTCCAAGGTCGAAACACTGCTCAGGTAGGAGAACAATTTGTTGATACACTAAGGTCAGTTGTCGATACGTTAAGCCACGTGGACGAGTGTCTTGTTTATAAACAAAGCCATGTGACCTAGTCGACCAATCAGAAATCAATGAAGTTGTATACCACGCGGTTTGTTACTCCTTATAAGATTGTGAAGTGTCAACTTTTCTCGCAAATAAAAACGTTGAAAGCAGAATGTTAGCATCGCACAATTTACGATAAGCGTGTAAAAAACCACGTTCGACAAATTACATAACAGTTAGAGGATTGTTTAATTTGATTGTTAATTTGACTTGAGTTGACAAGGCGTCGATATGTTTTTGTTAAGCTTGCTATCTTTGGATTGGGTTGTTACGGGATGTATTATGGTACTTGTATTTTATTTGACTTCTGTTTATATGAGGGACAGGAGACTTCGGTCATTTTTGCCGCCCGGTCCCGTGGCTTGGCCGTTAGTCGGAAACCTGCCTCAAATCATCGGACAGGACCTGCATATAGCGCTTACTAATCTTGCTGACATGTATGGAAATCTAGTCTGGATGAAGATGGGTCGTGAGAATGTTCTTGTGGTCAACAATATGGACGCTGCAGTAGCAAGTCTGGTACGACAAGGGAAGGTTTTCTCCGGACGACCGCGAAAAAGGAAGACAGTAGAGGTTCTGTTAGGAGAAGGTAAAGACATTGTGATGAATGATGTTCTCCCAGAACTGAAGCTACACAGACGGATTGTTCATTCCTTTTTGTCATCGCAAACTCACTCTGATAAAGACAGATTGAAGCTTATTATCATGAGAGAATCAAAAAGTTTGGAAGACAAAATGAAGACATTTTCTAATGAGAATATCTCGTTTGATCCCAAGTTCCAGGTGGCGCGGGTAGTAGCCAACGTGTTGTGTCAGTGTATCCTTAGTAGAAGGTTTGATGATGTTGACGAACAATTTCACGAGCAGTTGAGGATAGTTCAGGACATCGTGGATAGCATAGAAAGCTTCAACATTGTAGACGTTATCCCATGGTTAGAGGTATGTTATTAACCTATTTTCCACCGCAGTTAATATTGTTTCTAATAATATGCTAAAAATAATTTTCTGAAATAAGATTAAAAGCTGATCGTTATTGATATTGAAAGGCTAAAAATGTAAGCCTTAGATCGAAAGTGTTCAATTTTAAATCGTCATTAAATAATTGGTTAAACGGTCATTTATAGAGTCGTCCCAGCTTAACCAGACTAAAGAATTTTGCACTTATGATTCTTCTGAAATTAGGTCTGTCAGGGTCTTATTTATATTCCGAAGAATAATAATGGTATTATGCTTTACTTGCGCAGACATAACAAATAAAATAATTATATCTCAATATCGTTTTATTACAAGTATTGAAGAAAAAATTGAAAAGTAAAAAAAAATCAGAACTTGAGAGTAAAATGATAAAATCTTATTTAATGATGTAATTTTCGGGTAGAGGGGGACTTCATAGTGTATATAACATTTACGTGTTTGCCTCTGTCAGGTATTGAGCCGGTAATAGTACTGGCACAAATCCAAACATGAATGAAATAGCTAAATCGTTTGGTGTAAACTTATTGGCGGATTTTCATTCATTAAATTTTACGCCTTGTGCTTTTTTGCTACTTGGAAGGATATCTGATACCCCGTGTTGTTTTAAATAGAAGGCATAAACCAATAAGATATAGATACTCATCCGGTAATTTAGTATTCACTATACCCATTGAGGAATCAAAGACGAACTGCAGATGTGCTAATTAAAATTAATTGAAACAATTAATTTGCATTCATTTTAGAACGCTGATGACTAAGCATAAATATTTAAAGGATTTTAAGATAAACGAGATGCATTTTTAGTAACGTCACTTAAAATCACACCCTTAAATCCATCATGTTTATTTTTAAAGAAACATTGCACGGTCATCGAATGTTCTCCCGTTAGATTGAATCATTGTAAATCTTATCTTTATGGTGAAAGAGGACCTATCCTTCTTCTAGATATTTGCTTTGATGGGAAAATTTTAGGGGTATCCCTATCGAAAAGTTGATTTAAAAAATAAAATTTTTATCAAATTTTCATGTTATTGGAGCAGTTTGCTGAATAAGTCATGATTATTTTCCCTGTGTCGAATTGCAAAAAGCCGGACTTTTTTGCTCTACATTGTCGCGTTCTTTGCATATCTTTCTTCATGCGTTTAATAGTAAATTTAAATCGCCGGAAGATCATCATTATGAAACAATCGGAAGGGATTGTCGTATCGCAAACTTTTTAAGGAGAAGGAATAGTTCAAATTTTTTTACTTTGTGTGATATATCGAAAAATTACATCATGTGACCAAGGTCGTGTTCCCCACCTTAACAAGTAATGCCTCTTGATCATTGGGGAACTCTTACCAAACACTTTAGCTAGTTCTATAAATATTACAAATGTAATACATATAATTAGATAAATAAACATGTGTAAAAAGAGATATGCGTCTAGGATTTATGAAGTTGAATATCGAGGTCAAGCTAAACAGACCTAGCTGTCAAATTCGCCGCCTGACATATTCTTTGTAACTTATAGCCAGGCATAGACATTTATATGTCTTCAATATACCTAATCTTTTGAAGGGTTAGGAACAAAGTTTTCCTGTATAAATATACCAGGTAGATAAAAATTCTGAAATTGCAAATGGTATATTTACAGTTTATAGACGAGTTTAAAAGATGTCGAACATCTTTAAGAAGATAGAACTTTTACCTGACGACCTTTTAAACTAACTTAAGAATTCGATCTACTTTTTTCAAAATTATTTCGCATATATACATACATATACAGATGTATACAATAAATATGGGACTAAACACACCACAAAGTTAACATACTCGGCATAGTTGATCCTAGACGCGGGGCAGGTTAAAGTCCATCCTTGATGACAATTTAGCGCCAAAACAAATGTCCCTCTTCAATATACTGGGTCAGTAGAGGACGATATCCTTTGTAAAGGTGTTTGTTTACCAAAGAGGCAAATAAAAATCTTACTAAACCTGGTGCCCTATTAAACTTCCACCTCATAACTATGTGTAACCTTTAAGTGATGGTATCTGGGGAGAGGCGGGGGATTGAGAAGTCTTATCATTTATAAGAGGATCAAGGTCATGGATATTGTCTTGTTGTCCACTTGAATAAAAATTCCTTGAAACGTTTTGTATTGTTGTTATCACCTTTTATTACAATTTTGCATCTTAGACCATAATAATTTGTCTGATGTTTGGAAACTTTTGTTATCAAATGATTAACAGACAATCAAGAAAAAAAAATGAAATTAAATTTTTTACATCGAAGTTTCCAGTCGTTACAAAATAATTATTAAATAAGAAATTTGAATAAATCTATTTATATTTTTTTTTCAGCATTTTCCAATTCCCAGTTGGCGGAGATTTTTAACAAGTCTGGAGAAGAAAGACATTTGGATAAACCAAGTGATCCAAGAACATAAAGTACGAAAAACTTCATTTTCTTCATTAATAAAATTAATATATAACAAAAATAGGATTATATTCACAAATATATCTTTCATTTTGATCTTGATGTATTATTTTGAAATACTTTTATCAAAACTTTTTAGTGATTTGGGTAACTATTTTTGAAACAGTTTTTCTTTTTGTTAACTTTTTTCTTTCTGTTTACTACTTTTTTCTTTACGGTAACTATTTTTTCATTAATTTTGGTAATATTTCTAGTTGGGGCTATTGATTAAGTTCAAGGATATAAAGAGGAATAACCTTATTAAGTAAAACATATTAGATTTTTGATAACATAATTAAAGGTCAACAATTTTGAAAGACCTTCGGGAAAATCAGATATACTTTTTATCTTACCTTTGTGTACTATAATGTGAACAAATTTTATTATTCTTTCCAATAACGCAGATGTAATAGTAGGCATTTCACAGACGCTGAACATGTTTTATCCACAAAATCATCTGTTTTATTAACTTTGAAATGTTATGCTACATAATTTCTTGCCATTTAGAAAAGAATCTGGCGGAAATTTATCCTATTAAAAATCTTTATAGCTTAGAAAGGGATATATCAAATAAACTGAAGATTCGAATAATACACTCTGTAATAGGCAGGAATATTAATTATCATATTCCTTAAGGCTAAGGACCAAATTGAGCTTCTTTGAAATTGTATCATTGACCTTATATAAATAGAAATAATGACGTCATTACATTTTTGTTCTATTTTTAGGAAACACGCACAGAAGAAAAGGATAGAGATTTAGTTGACATAATGTTGAAATTGCAACAGGAGGCCATAGAATCAAAAGACGAGGAAGAAATTCGTTTACTATCGGACACAAATATAGGCCATATTGTACACGAACTGTTCGGCGGGGGCATTGAGTCTACCACTATGACTATTTTATGGCTCATGTTATATCTGATTCATAATCCACAGGTGAGTTATTTAAGCTTGGAAAGGATGGAATTGAAATATCCTTGAAACACGCGGGAAAATACTTCAAACGCATTGCGGAAGGTGATGATGTACTAATTAACCGAATCCCTTTAATGATGATGAACACACTAAACCATTAAATCAATTAAAAGATACAAGATACATGCAACTAAATCATAAATGTTGTCAGGGGGAAAATTTACTTAAGCTTAATTATTATAAAATATACTGCAAAATAGAATTATGAGGGAGAATAATTATTTATTAATTGCTTTTTTATGATAATTAGCTGACAACACACATGCTTTTAGTACAAAGATATCTTGACATATTACATCTTAGTTTCTTTGAGGATAAATAAGTAAAAGATTCGACCCATAATGGCATTTGACATTATTTAACGGATAAAAACTAAGATGTAAAACCTTTGATTGTTGGAAATTCAAATATCGGCATTTAGATTCAATTATCATGAAATTCAGCAGATGCCATGCTAATTATAAAACATAATCGTGAATCCAAAATGTGAATGTAAAGCAATATTCTTCATTGTTATCCTTGAATTTTTAATGTTTGCATTCATTGGATATTTCTAAGCAATTTTCTTTAACTTCTTCTGCAGTGGCAGGAAAAAATCTACGAAGAAATCCAAGAAAATACAGAAGTGGGAGAAGACCCGTCTCCTTTTGATCGGGCGAAATACCCGTTGCTAGAGGCAACTGTAAAGGAGACACTGCGCATGGCATGCATACTTCCGGTTGGATTCCCTCACAGAACATTAACAGATACAGAGTAAGCTGATACAAAAATTTGAAAACAAGTTTTAAAAACTCAGTGATTTTTGGTCTTGTAACTAGTTCACAGCAATATAGAATGAAGTTGGTTTTGCCTCACACTAAGAAATACTTTATAGCGTGTTACTAATGATTCAAAGTTTAATATAGCATTAAAAACGTAAAATTCAAAAATCGACTGCCGGAAGTGATAAAAGATGTACTAAGAGTGCTTGAACGCACGTGCTTGTCCCCAACGTGTAATGGTCAGTAGGGCAGGAAGAGAATTTAAATTTCAAAGCAAATATTCCCCGTCTTTATCACTAGACACCTGACCATGAACTATGTACCTAATTTGACCAGACGAAAGTGATTTGCACAAAAAGTTATTAATACCCAGGTAATTGCCACCTTCTAATATCTTAAACAGGGGGAGTAAATAAAAAATTATTTTTCATTTCTCCTTCCAGACCATTTGTTTGTTTATCTGATTATTGGAACAAAGGGAGTATTTCTATATTTAGAATTTTAGAAGAGGATTTTAGGAGGATTGGAAAATGTCCAAGTAGGGAAGTAGTTTAGATGTCTGTTCTATAAACTGGTCAGTTAAAATTTAAAACAAGTTGGTAGAAAAGAATCAGCTTTTGTCTAAAATTTAGAATTTTAGACATTTTAGACATACATTCAACACGTTTTAAAAAAATATAACAATCAAGTTTGTAATGATGATTTTTTTTTTATTTTGGGAGATGAACATGTTACAAATCATACAATAGAGAAATTGAATGCATTCCCAATGATTCATAGCGCCGAGGATCTCAGGAAAAAAAATTAGGGAAAGAAAATATTTTTACACAATTATAGCTCGGTTTATAACAGTAATTTCGATAACTTTTTAAAAATAACTAGTCGCCATTAAAAATATTATTCGACTGAAATTTTCTGTTGACACATTTTTTTTTTTTTTTTTATCTTTTTCTGATATTGAAAATGTCGAGAATTGTATCAAGAAATACAAATCTAAGAAAACATTTAAAAATCTTGGTTGGTGGTTTAAAGAAATTCAAATGAAGTGCAACGTTAGCAAAAGACTTAATTTCGACACGAATTCTACAAAGACCGTCACATACAAGAAAATAAATGTGCAAATGTAAATTTATGATATATGAAATTTATGCTTTTCATTACCTGCATTCCTCGGACCCAAACAAATTAGCATTCGCGAGATTCCACCGCTTTGAGTGGCGTCTGCGATTACAAATTAGTGTGTCGCTGTGAGAAATGCGAGTGACACTTTCTGAGATGATATTTCAAAAGAACGAGTAAAAAAGGTGGTAAACGGATACTTTTCTGAATTCCTCGTTCAGTTTTTCGGCAAAAAGATTGACACATGACGTTTGACAAAACAAAATATTTAGTCGTTGCACTAAGCATTAAAGTCCAAATTTAAGAGTCATGAGAGTCTAATGACTAAATTCCTGGCTTTATTAACACTCTTACTTTCTGATTATTTCCTTCATTATAAACGCCAACATTACGTAATAAAACTTTTCCAAAATTTGTCGTTTTTAGATTTTTGCAAAATTCCCAACAAACATTACACTCTAAAAGTACCGACAAAGAAATTAATTTCATTTAGGATTACTCAATGGTCAAAAGTAACAAAGAAAATGAGGAAAATCGAACTAAACAATTTGTCAAAATTGCTGTCTGGTTCCTCGCAACCTTGTCAATCTTACAGAAATTTTTGTTCTCTACCACAAATGCTCGCTTACAAATGACGGAAAAACAGAGATTAATTCTTCATCGCTTGATAAAAATTGATGCGTTGTTTTTTCCTACATGCTAAATAAGAACAACAAAGAAAAGTTTAAAATAAATACTGCATCCCCAAATGCCTATCATATATGCTGTGATTTATTTTTTGACGTTCGCATCCTTCCGGGAAGTAGCGACAAAAATCGCAAAAATAACAATAAACATTTTTTTTAAAGAAGCAAGATGATTAATTAAGACATTTCTATTATGGATGAGGTATTCCGATTCAATGAATACAAAGAGACAGTTATAAATATGTTCGTTCCGAAAATTATCATGTCGGAAAGTGACTCAGAATCGCTTAGGAATTTTAATGAAATGTATCAAGGACAAGTTTATAATTAACTATAAGGCTAATGAATACTCTTAAATTATCTTTCAGACTAAATGGTTATTACATCCCAGCGGACACCATGGTACTGATGAATATCTGGGCGATACATCACGACAAACACGCCTGGAGGGACCCAGATACCTTCAACCCAGGTAAGTTAAGACCTGGTCAAAGGGCCCCACAACAACGAGACCCCTGCCAATATACTATAAAATATTAATAATTATTTACAATAAACAATTTACTGACCAACACTGAATATTAAATCATTTTTTTTCTTTTAGTACAATTTCAAAGTTATCAACTTGTTTGTTTATAAGATTTACATTGAATTATTAATTTACCTAAATTCTATTTTTTTTCTAGAACGATTCCTGTGTAAACAGTCGGGAGAAAGATACAGTTACCTGCCCTTTGGTATTGGACATCGTGTGTGCCTTGGTTCAAACATTGCCAAAATGTCTGTTTTCTCTTTCTGTGCCAGCCTTATCAAAAACTATAAAATCACTGTCCCAGACGGGGCTCCTTTGCCAGACATGAAACCAAACGCTGGGCTGACCAACCGACCGAAACCTTTCGAAATAAAGCTCATCAAACGCTCTTGAACCTCAAGATGTATTTTTAGTACTGTTTTAATCTCCGGTGAAAGATTAAACGCCACACCCATTCCCAATTGTTTTCAAACTGAAAGGAACTCGCAGACATTTCCAAGATTCTATCATATTTACCACAGAAATCCATATGGACACTTATTTATCTTTAAACTTGTGACCCTCCTGTCATTTGGGAGGGTCCTTCTTTCGTTATTGAACAACAAAGGGCAGCATTTATATTTATTATGTATGTACATGTTATAAATAGATTACCAAACTTTGATATTTTTTATGTTTTGTGTTATTGTTGTCAAATGTTTAATTTATTATTTGTGCTACATTGTATTTTTTGTAAAGCTTGTGTTATTATTTTATATTTTTTCCTTGACGTTAAGTTTCGAAGAGACATATTATTTATTCGCAATATTTTTTTTCACTGATTATTTAAAAACCTTTTTAAAAAACCCTTATATTAATTACATTGTATTATGTATATAGAGTCATGTCATTGTTTTTTAACCAAAGACGATCACTCGTGAAATTTATTTATTATGCCAACAGCTTTTTTTCCCATCCATCTTCGTTATCGTTTTTCATCATTTCGTGCATTCCATATATAATGTTATTTATTGTTGTTGAATATAATTGAATAAAAAAATATTGTAATAAGAAACATTTGTGGTTTTTTTTTTATATTTCCATCATATGAATGAAGGAAATGTTCTAGTTTCCCTTTTTTTTTTTAAATAAAATAAAACAATCTTTTAGTAGAATAAATTCTCGTGGTTAGGATAAAAGATATATCTTTATTTGAGGGTGAATCTTAAGGTCTTTATTAAGTATTAAAGTATTTTTAGAAAATAATTTTTCATCATTTTGCAATTAAAACTAGAAATGGAAGGCAAAATTTTAAGCACTGTATTCAAATTACAGATAAGGAGCATCTTTCTTAAAATATCAATTAAATCAAATCCATTATGATGATAATCACATTACAGAATTTTAAAGAAGAAATTACCAAATCTCTTTCAAGCTGATTATATACATGTATCATTAAAAATCCCATGTTTTGAAAACGGAACACAATCGCTGTCAAATCCTGACACATCATGTACATAAGACGATAGAAATGCATCATTATTTACAAAAATCTTGAGGTTTGTTTTAAATTGAGAAAGCTCTTTATATATAATATATATATTTCTCTATAAACAACTTGATCTCAATGTGTATTCTTCTCATTAAGCGGCAAAATTGAAAAAAAAATTCTATTTTACAGCTCTACAGCTACTTAATTCAAAATTCTCAGACTGATGATAAATACAGCGTCTTATGATTATATTAAATAGTTTTAAGACAGTTTTATTGCGGTGTTCAGGTAGCAGTAACTTTATAAATCATCATTACCATAAGAAGATCTGGCTAATATTTCTTGATGATGCACTCAATTGTAATTAAACTGAACTTAAGGATGGACAAGTAAGAAGGTGAACCCATCGAAAAGTGACGCAAAGTGATGTCATCTACATTTGTGTACATGTACCTCCTAATTCTGAAAAATGATACACACCATGAAGAGGTAAGAATAGACGCCATGAAACATCAGACGGAGAGTCAGGTACCTAGGTACAAGCGTACCCCTGTAAACCGGTCACATTCAGAAAAAAAAAATATTCGACGATATACCATTGTATATTACATAGCTAGTAGTGTATCAGCCCTGATGCAGGCGTTTTGGACTATGAGGGCTGTTCAATAAATAATGTCCTGAACTGTATGACATACAATACAGATATCATATGACATTAAACTTGACTTTCTCTCATTATTGAATCTTTACTGAAATTATAACAGTTTATGTGACCACTTTTCATCACATAGTTTCATCGTGAGAAGCTGGGAAACAAGGGCTATTCGAGACACTGCATTATAAAGGAATGGTAAAGAATCAGTAAACTAGAGTGAAAATAAAGGCTACATTAAAGATGCTGTAAAACTTGCTAAAAATCACTGAAATGTGTGACGTTTAAAGCAACCAATGCCTGTTTTATAGACAAATGATCAGGTGGATTTCAATGATAAAACATTATGTGATGAGAATCAAAAATGGGTACCGTCCTTGCCAACAAAAAATATAACAACTTATGTACTGTTTGCCAAATTTCAACAAATAATATTTGATAATGTATGATTGACTTTCAGACACATAGCAAATATGACATCAAATCGGGGTAATTTACACTGTTTTTAAGAAACGTTTAACAGTAAAGAAGCTTGGTTCTCAAAGGTCACGCTATATTTTGAAAAATGAGTGAAAACGACAGTCTTAACAATTATTTTAGAATATCAGTAATTTTAGTTGTCCATGTTTGTTTTATATTCAAACAGATATTGGAATATGAATCTATTGCTTAAAATCATCAAAACAAAATTTACCATATGATGTACCTAATAAAAACATCGAAGGCCTGACAAAAGCAAAGGTATGCAAGAGCACAAAGACAGATTTATATGCAATTTTCTTAAATATTAGCTGTATTGTTGATCAAATTCGTATTCGAGGAGACAGTTTAATTTATGGAGGAGTAAAGAAAGCAATTTTTATTCAAAAAGATCGAAAGGTTCATTCGAGGAAGGACCCAGAATCAAGAATCTGCTACGTTGAATTTCTTCATGACAGCATCCAAACCCGCATGCCCTGAAGAGTAAAGGGGTTTGGGGATAAACAGAAAGTTAATGTTTTTTCACATTAACAATATTTGCCAGATTTTTGACTTTTTGATTTATTTCTATTTCCAAACTTAAAAAAACACCTTTCAGAAGGAAAAAACAAGTCCAGGAAATCATTGGATCTGCTATTTTCCAGTATACTAAGGGTCAAAAATGAGTTCTAAAAGCAATCAGAAATTGGATAAAATTGTTACAGACATGTTTTTGAATTAAAAGAGATTAATAAGTAAAATCATGAAGACTTAATCATTGAAAAGCGTCGTTTGCTTCTTTCTGAGCACCGAGGACATTATTTATTGAACAGCCCTCGTAGGTGAGACAGCGCTTGGGAAGTAGGTCTGTCTCGCCCTCAGGGCTGAGATACCTCCGGGCTAGGGCCGATACCAATCGCTCAGGCTGATACCAGGGCCGAGATCAAAACAGCAGTGTGATATTCTATATGTATCGCTATATGTAACCAATCTTGATATAGTGTAGTTGGGTATCATGATATTGTATCTTTCATTATACAATGTCTCATACTCCATAGAAAGCACACTTATTTGTCAATTTTAAGGACAGATAATACAAACAATTTTTTTCTTTGAAAAAGATTTATGTCACAAGTTTATATATTTTTTTAAGAACTGGAAAATAATAATTGGAAAATATTAAAAATATTTCAATAAAAAAACAAATATAGACAAATCACATTCAGTAAAGGTTTACAGGTGAAAACAAATTTCAGAATATTACCTTGGTGCTAAAAGTGTAATATAATCTTTAGAAAAATATACCAATCCAGGTGAATTTTGTGAGGACGAACAAAATGACAAAAAATTAGCAATATCACATAGACAGATTTTTACCGATTAGCTTTTCCTAATAAAATTCACCTGGCTTGGTATATTTTTCTTAAGTTTATATTATACTTTTAGCACCATGGTAACATATTCTAAAATTTGTTTTCATCTGTAAACCTTTACTGAATGTGATTTGTCTATATTTGCTTTTTTTATTGAAATATTACTTATATTTTCCAAGTCTTTTTCATTTTCCAGTTCTTAGGAGAAAAAAGTCTAAGAACCATCCACTTTTCTAAACTTGTGACATGATATTACAACTTTTTCAAAGGAAAAATGTGTTTGTATCATCTGTCCTTAAGAAAGAATTTATTCATAAAGTTTGAAAAGCTTTAATAATTAATATTGTTCAAAATAATCTCACATAGTATGATATTTAAAACTATTATTACATTTCCCAGTTTTGTTATTTTGTTTTCTAGTATATCAAAATCACCGTATTGTTACAGTTTAAAAGAAAAATAAGATGAACTTCTCTAGAAATTCTTCAATGATCAAACGGTCGATATCAAAGAAATATAATCATTTATCTAAGGTGAGATCCTTAGGCAAACACAGCACTGATAACACTGTTGATCAAAACATTAAACAAGACGTTTCAAACTATATGTCTTACAAAACACTTGTTGAATGAAAGCATGAATGAAAGAGTATGCAGAAAGCATTTATTGTATGGCACATAAAATGAGCTCAATTTCTTCCTCTTTTCATGTTAAATTTAAGATCAACATTTATTTTTAAAAATAATCTACACCAGGATATGAAACAGACATAATCAAATTCTAGATAATAAAAAACACAACAGAAAAGTTAAACAAAAATCATTGAAACTAGACATTTTAAATTTCTAAATTTACACCTGTAATCAGATAGGAATACAAGGCTTTAATTTCTATCTGTTGACCTACATAGCTCTGAGGAAAACAATGCCGACCTTCCAGTGTGTGTGAAGTGTTTGCTTTGTACCTATCTACCCGTCTGAGGGTTAGCCTCTTTTCTCACGGCCTTAGTCTAATTAAACGCCTCCGTAGTCTGCAAACATTGGGGATTCCCTTGACACTCACTTCTTTGACGGAAATGTTTCCCAATCTTACTCCATTTATCAGTCACTTTTCTGGCTGTCGATTATGGAGGACTTTTCTATTAATCTCTTTGTAAAGCTCTGTTTTCCCCCTGTAATATTTTTTTTTTCATTTTTAAAATTAATGTATAATTTAATTAATAAAAAAAAAATTAAATTTCAGTAGAGCACTAAATGAAAGCTTATTCTAGATAAATTGAGTTAGTTCCTTTTTTTAATTACAATGTTCTTTTACTCAGTTTTGTTGTAACTGGGATTTTCTTTCAAAGATAATAATCTAACCATTAAAAAAAATCACCAAAACGAGCAAATCATCTTACTTTAAAATTGAAATTAAATTATAATACCTAATTTTAGAAATATACCTAAGTAAAACTTGTTAAATCTCCTGTCTAATTGCATTCTGAGTCTGATTAAATTAATCCCTGCTATTTTATCTCCGTGAAGTTTTGGCAAGGCATGACACAAAACTATTTCGGAAGAAGAATTTCCATTGTTATCTGTCACAGGGATAATTCCAAATGACGGGCAAAATCGGAAAAGCGAAACCTGGTTACCGGTCAGGATGTATTAGTGGTCCGAAATTTCTAACCGTTTCCAGGCTTTTATTTTTACGGTTTTGATAATTTACGTGCCATGAAAACGTCAGAACCGGCTCCATTACGTAAACTGGAAATTCGCCTACTCCAATCGGAGGCAACACTCTCGAGAGTTAATTTTTGATACTTGCGAACCGAATTAAATGTCATACTCACAAAACATCAATAGTACAATACTTTTAGTATTTACCAACATCGTGAAAATATCAAAAATATCCTGTCCCACTCGTGAAATAATTCCATATTCAACGACAAAACATTGAATATCCTCTATATATACATCAGAAATATGTATTAACCCGTAGTCAAATTAGATACAAAAAACAATGACCTAATAAACGAAAATGTCATACAAAATACGACTCAACAATGGGTTTTATTTTTTAGACACAGTCATTAAA